TATAATCACATTACATATTAAATAGCTGCCATGGAAAAATTGAGTGAATATTTGTCACCTATTAGGCTGCTGATTATTAGTAAATGTTAGAAAATTAAGAAAATTGCAACCAAATGGGAGAAGATACAGAACAGTGTTCTTACAAAATGTATTTCTAATATGTCTGCCATAGAGCCCTTGAGAGAGAACAAGAAACTGGGTCAATGTGAAATACTAGAAACTGAAGAGACAACCTAGAAATGAGGGTTTTGAGCTCTGTGTAAGTGATCAGCAAAACCAGCCTAGAGCACTTTGAGTGTTCTTGCACATATTTTTCATGGATGGCATAAAATACACAGGACCCTCTATACTGGGGAAGTAATAAGTGTTCCTGGACCCACTGGAGATTTCCTGTTTACCTGTATCCATTTAAGGTCCATAAAACTCTTCCTGTTATAAATTTCAACATCCCCAGAACCACAAGTAGATGAGACTTGAAGTCAAGACCTACAACCAGGTAAAAGTCTAGGTTTTATGAGGCCTGAGATTTAAAATTTAGGGACGTTCTTCAAGAGAAAGAATATAAAATTGCAAATATAAAACTAGGTACAGGAACTAAGAAGTGGGGGTCAAAAAAGTGAAGAATCATAAAATTTATGTGTCTTTGGTAGTATAGTAAATCTGCCTCTGAAATCACTAAATGTTTCAGTAATATTTCACGGTCAGATTTAATAGTTCTAGTGCCTAGAGTTGAAGTACTTTAAAGGTGATGAGACTAGAATAGAATTAATAGGTATATCATATAGCGTTTAAATTCTTAACATATGTTATCCCATTAAATCTGCACTTCATTGAGAAGAAATAGATGTGATTACTTTTTCCATTTGTGAAGTACTGATGAAGACCTGAATCATTAACAGTGGGAATAGAGAAGAGAAAGAAATAAATTACAGAAAATTTAGAACTACAAGATGAATTGTAGGTAGGAGTTCAAAAGAGAGAAGCTTCAAGCAGTATGCCCAGATTTCTAATATAAGAGACAGGATGGATATATGTTCCGCCATATGAAAAGACGAAGATTATATGATAAGAAACAAATCAATGGAGAATAATAATACATTCATTTTGAATCTGAAGGGTAAATCTCTCTATTTGTGTATCTATTTGCAGATATGTATCTAGGTAGGCATATCATATGCCTCTGAATAAGTTGAAAAGAGAAGAAAAAGGGTAGGAATAAATATAAATGTTAGTGATGTTAAGGGTAATTTTAACTATGGGAGCATACAAAATCCCCGATGGGATACATTAAAAGTAATAATGGCCCCACTAGGACAAGTATAACCTTGAAGATTCCCATATTGATGGAGTAAACAGAAGAACTCACAAAAAGACTAAGAAGAAATCTTGGCAAGGGGATGGAGAAGCAATGCAGGGAACAAGGATAAAGCCTTAATATCAAATGTCTAGAATTCTGACCAGATGCCTAATCATCCAGGTCAAATGCAACAGAGGTCCAAGAAGATGAAGACTGAGAATGATCCACTGGATTTAGTAAGTAGAAAGCAGCTAACCATTTTACTACAGCAGTAAAGCAGAACCCAGATGTGAGAGGTTGCAAACTAGTTATGCAAGAATAGAAACTACAAATGAAGATAGCGCTACTCAGAAGTATGTTTGTCTTGGGAAAGGTATGAATGTCTTTAGGTATTGAAGCTTGAGAAAGTTGGGGAGCCAAAAGTGAAGGAATTACTCTCAGAGATGGAGCCGTGATAAATGGCAGAACAGAACTCAAGAGCAGACTATCTGGGATAAGACAAAGGTTGATAGAGTAGATTCCTATTATTTGGAGACTGAAGGGGAGGTGGTAAGGGGGTAAGGAAGAGTGTATGCTCATGTAGTCCCCTCTCCTCTATGACAGAGATGACACAGTCATTTGTCCAGTGGACGTTGGGAGATGGGGAAAAACTGGTATAAAGAGGATGTTTGAAAAGACTCAAAACTGCTTGGAAAGGTTCTTATGAGCCATGCAAGGGTCCATGGAGAAGCAAGTAGAAGGATCGATGCCTAGATGCGATCTGAGACAGAATATCTACTGGGAGAACTAAATGAGAAGAACTATAAAACCACCTGTCACAGCGTTTTGCATATTGTTGGTGCTCAACAAATATTAGACCTACTCTGGTCCACTAACACAAAGGAGTCACAGGATCTTTGAGACCTATGAAGTGGAACAAGTAATACCTCTTCCATGGGAAAATGTTGTCATGTAGGTACATCTGATGCATCTGTAGAGATGGATGCACCTACTTGTGTGCATACACTCTTTCTCTACAGCTTCATCTCCTTCAGTTGAAAGCATGAGAATGTTAAAGGGTGGGATGGGAAAAATAATACCCTCCTAAAAGATGGAGCTAAAAGAAAGATGAATTTAAGTAGATTATTTTAAATAATTACAGTAGTAGCTATTGTTAACCAGAAATGTAGAATTTTCATTAGGAATTTCAGAAAGGTAAAGACTAATAGGCAACATTAATATGAATGGACAGAAGACAGCCACTTTTCAATACCTCAAAACTAGTTCCTTCTGATGACATTAGAACTTCAAGAGATTATGAAAATGATCCACTTCTACCCCTTTCCTGCAATTAGCAGGAACACTGGGATCTTGACTTCTCCAGATAAACACTTGTCATTTCTTTCTTTCTTCATGCCACCCATTAAAAAAAAAGAAAATTAGAGGTGTCCGGCTGGCTCAGTTGGTAGAGCATGTGACTTGTGATCTTGCGGTATGAGTTTGAGCCCCACACTAGGTGTAGGGGTTATTTAAAAAATAAAATATTTTTTTTAATAAAACAAGATTTGTTTCTATATTAGTATATTCATTGCTAGGAATTTGCTGGTTCTCTTCAAAGTGGCTTACATCACAAAGATAAGCTTTTTTCCCCTACAAAGATAAGCCTCTTAAATGCTTAACTCCACTATTCTTTGTCTCAAATTCTAATAGAATGTTATTTATTAAACTTAAAAAAACATACGTTCTTTTCTTTTTCATTAATCAAGTCCACTGCTTAACAACAGAATGTACACTGCACTGTTTAGGCTATGTATTTTATTTGACCTGTTACTATCTTGAGTTAGAATATTCTGTTTTTGTAAACTTAATTTATTTAAATGTATGCTGAAGGAAGTGGAAACAGAAACTTGGGCTTCAGTCTTCCTCTATAAAGTCAACTGCATAGAAAATCAAGTTGGACAGGAACCGCAATATGCAAATCATATTTTAAAACTTTTGTGCATGATCTTTTAAAATTCACAGTTCTATTTTTCTTAATTCTCACAATAATCTTCTCACTAAAATGGATAGTTCACAATTGATATGAAAGAAAAATATTAACTTTTGAAAATTATCTGAATGAAAGGCCTTTCAATATAGATAACTTCATGCTTATTTATAATTAAACAGCATCTTAATATGCCAATTTTCATCTTGTCCAAAGGATTTGATGCTCAAGAGTATTGAGTGAATGGCTGAATAAGTGAATTGTTTGGACCCGGAATCCTAGCTGGGCTTATACACACACAGTTTTATCCAGTTATCTCAAAGGGGTTAAAAAATTATCATTATAAAATCTTCATTTAAAAATTTAATAGTACATTGAAAAGCTGGAGGTAATAAAGATTAAAAAAAAAAAGACAATAATTTCACTTAAGAGCTGTCACCAGCCTGACAGCTGATGAGTTAAATATACCCTCACTGTGGTCAGGAGGATTTAAACTTTTCTGTTTATTGTTTTGATTTTGAATGTTTAGACAGGGTGCCTACTCTCCAGCTTGTCTCAGGCTCCATCATCCTTCTTGCCTTAGACTAGACCTAATTCATAAATCCTTGTTACCTGCTTGGCCACTTAGCATTTGAATCTGGGATCTCAGATTTCCCAGGAAGGTAAAAATGGACAGATTACCCTGTATACTTATTTTTTGTAACCACCTTTTCAGATCTAGAAACATTTTATAGTTAACACAAAGCCACAGGAAAAGAACAAAAGAAAATATAAACAAAACCTAAGTTAGCAACAATATAGAGTCCATGACATTGGAGTTATGATACATTGTGGGAACATCCCTAGTAAAGAAATTACAATCCTATTATCATCCACCAGCTTGGAAAGGAGTGCAATGAAAACAAATTAATTTTGGACACTTTATTTTTTTTTTAAGATTTTATTTATTTATTCATGAGAAACACACAGAGAGAGGCAGAGACATAGGCAGAGGTAGGAGCAGTCTCCATGCAGGAAGCCTGATGTGGGACTCGATCCCAGGACTCCGGGATCATGCCCTGAGCCAAAAGCAGACGCTCAACTGCTGAACCACCCAGGTGTCCCAATTTTGGATACTTTAATTATTTAGTCACATTGTTTAAATTTTATTGTTTATATTTGATAATGTAAATGTACTAATATTCTATGAAATCTGGGTTAGTCTTTTCTAATTACAATAACAGAATAAAGGGGAACCAGGAGACCAAGAGTAAATATTCAGTCATTAAAGGCCCTAGTTCAGAACAAAGATAAATTACTCATAAATAACACATTGTCTCCTTTGATATGCTCTTGCCACCAACATCCCTCCTACACTTTAAAGCTAGCCAGAGCCTCAACTCCAGCACAACTCCTGTAACCAATTTCACTGTCACAGCACGACCTTAATGTTTCTCAAAGAGCACTTACTGTCTTTATCAGACAACTACTCTTTAAGAAGGAGTAATAACAGGTCTGCAAATTTCAGTACCAGCAATTTAGAGCATTTAAACTCAGTACATAATTTAGATTATTGTGCTACAGTATGTTGGTTATTTATAATGCAAAGTAGTCAATAATTGATATTTATGTACACTGAACTATCTCTTTAATAACATTACAAATATATCCTATTAGTAGAGATAATCTCTTTAAATTTTAGTATATCATAGAGCCTGGGACAGAGCTAGATATTGCAGTCCACATGTTACTGATTACCTGTTTTATTTGCAGGTTTAATTCCTCGAGAGTGGGTCAATTTAGCTTGAGTTTCTGAAATCTGAGGAATGTAGATTTTCTTGGGGATATCAAAATGTTCTGGAAGGCTCAGTTCTGCTGTGTATAAAATGGATTTAGGCTTCTTGAGCTTTGAGGTATTAAAGAGCATACAAGTCTGCAAATAAACAGAGAGTAAAATTGGAATGTAATTCTGTTAGCCTTTACCTCCAAAACCAAGGGAAAAAAAAAGCATTATGCATTTAGAGTCCACATTTGGGGAAAAATTCACCAAGGGACGGAATCTGTTCGATCTTTAGACACGTTATTATTTTAATTGGTGGAAGATAACACTAACATGTTTTTTAGAACCAATGGAATCATCCTTTATTAACAGATGCTCAACGTCCCAAGCTCTAATCCTTTCAGTGTTGAGGAATTCATTGCTTCAGGGAAAAACCAATTCTACTGCTGAATAGCAGCATTGAGAAAGTGCTACCCTCCTTCAGTTGGTCCCTGTGTTCCCTGATATCTAACCCTTGAATTCGAGTTCTTAGCAGAAGCACAGTTAGTCCTCTCTCTTTTCCTAATAACAATTTTGTGAATATATGTGTGTATATGTGTGTATGTACACATATATGTGTAGAAAATTAAGGCCTGCCTCTCCACAGACAACCAAACATATTTTTTATTTTTTCACTTTTTTCTTCCTCCCTCCCCCATCCCAAACATACCTTTTAAATAGGTTTGATATGTTTAGTTCCTTCAACCACTGCTTATAAATGTGGGTCACAACAACTCAGCAACATGCATATACTCCTCAAGACACAATCTAGTCAACATTGTCCTTCTTAAAATGTAACACTGAAGAGAAAGCCAGTTCTCTAAGTGTGAACCAAGCAATGCAAAGCCCAAAGGTAGGCATTCATTTATATTTATCTGGATGCTCTATTGCTAACCATATAGTACAGCCCAATGGTTAGTCCAAGCACTCTTGAAGACAGACTGGCTGCATTTATAACCCAACTTTAAGTAAGCGTGGCCAGCCTATTAACCAAAGCCACAAAGTTTTCATTTGTAAAATATGGGCAACAATAGTACACCCTGCCTATATCTCTGGTATGAACATTTAAAGTGAAAACAAAAATCCAGGTCCTTGAAGCATATTTTGCATACTCAATAAATGCTGGCTATTAATATCATTATTGTCATCATCATCATCTTGATCATGGTCATGGTATCATTACTCAACAAAAATAAATGTTGGTGCCATCAGCAATTTTCTCATTCACTGGGTTTGTTATCTACAAAATCCACAGGGATTTTTTCCCCCACAAAGTAACATTTTTCAACTACTTTAGTTTGGTAATTAAAATCATGTAAATCAAAAAACTTAATTCATTTACATTCATCATCACTTGTGTTTGGTTCATTTTTCTAGTCACTGCGAACAAATTATATATTCACATTAGCAACCGGCTCTTTAACCTAAATGTGTATCATCTGCCTTTTATATCTTCAAGTCATTAAGTCATGATATATTGACGTAGACCCTCTTCTTGGCAAAACTCTAGTCAGGCTCCTCCAGCTCCTCTTCTCAAGTAGCCCTCAACCTTGGCCTACAATAACTACAGATTTTCAGCACAAACAATTTTGTCTACCCCCTTCCCGCCGCCCCGACTAAGAGACTTAATTAAACAAGCACTGACATAATTTCTAACAGCTTAAGGCCATATCCCTAGGATGATCCCACTTCCCCTTAAAGTGCCTACCTGAGAGAGCTTAATACTGCCATGAGAATATACTGTTTGTTTCAGTCAAGACCCAATGACAGGTAGATAGGCCCCTAAACCCCCTCTTATTAGAGCAGTTACTTTAGAAAGCTTACTATTATAAGTCCTTTCTCTACCTCCCTTTTTTTCTTCCACTACCATCCATCCCTTTCTCTCTCCTTTCTGAGATGTAAGTTTTCTGCCACCCAGAGCTATTTTCTTAAGGACCTCAGAATGCAAACATTCAAGGAGATAATGATCCCAGCCAGGTAGGTACCTTGTTCTAACTTGTATCACTATCTCCAGTCATAAAGATTCCAAGTTTGTCTTCTGCTGATAAGCATCAATTAACAAATCCAGATCACACTGACCAACCCTCTCCCACTTATAAATGTCCACTTCCCTGATTCTGCCCATTATTATTAAGTTCCCAGCTCATTATCCCTCTTCACTTTCTCATCCTCCCTTTAAAACTCCCAGTTCCTTCTGCATAAATTTCAGTTTAGTTCATGCTGGATCCTTCTCCCTATTGCGACAGTTACTGAATAGAGTCTATCCTCATTTCTTTATCTTTGACAGTATCAATAGATTCATGATTCAGAGTACATTTAAATCATACAAATACAGAAACCATTTTCTTTACCCTTCTGAATCCTCACAAAGGAGATCTTTTAGGCTTCCTTTTTAAAACATATTAAATTTCAAAATTTCAATGATTTTTCCTACCATTTATCCCAGAGTATATATACCATGGCTTTTAAAACATAAACTTGAAAAAGTTAACAGAAAATAGAAGGAAACTACCCTGTAAGTTCTGAATCTTTCCAATAACACTGAGTATATCGTTAGAGTTGATTTATTAATGGCCAGAAGAATGTGAATTCAATAAATGAGTGCTAAGTGGTAAAGTGTCAGAAACTCATGCTCCTGACAAAAGATCCTGTCTCTCACAGTATAAAGTAGATACATCATACTGCTATTACTCTATAAATATTTCAAAAATTAAAATTTCACATGGTTGTCTACCAAAAAAGTTTAGTCAAATGTGTCACTTTTCTTTGGTAGAAAAATGATCACATATATTTGATTAGATTTAGTTCTAAACAGATTTATTTCAAGGATTATTTTAGGTTTTGTTATGTAGTTATTTTACGCTATAACTGAGTATTCTAGACTTTCATTCATTCCATTATACAATTTCCTGGTAGTAGACTAAGAAGTGAACATACGACCTGAAGACTATGCAGGAGAAGGAAAAGAGTAATGGATGAAGGGGCAAAAACCTGGGTCTATTCTTATTCTGTCACAAAGCAGTGGTGTGACCTTAGGCTGCCAACCTACTATTTTGGGGTCTTGGTTTGCACGTCTGTAAGAATAAGAAGTTGGACTATGTGTCTCTCTGTGTCTTTGATTTTTTTTTTCTCAGCTTTATTTTTTTAAAAAGATTATAATCATTTATTTGACAAAGAGAGAGAGGGAGCACAAGTAGGAGGAGCAGCAGGCAGAGGGAGAGGGAGAAGCAGGCTTCCTTGCTGAGCAGGGAGCCTGGCACAGGGCTCCATCCCACGACCCTGGGACCATGACCCAAGCCAAAGGCAGACAACCAACTGAGCCACCCAGGCACTCCTCTTTTTCAGCTTTAAAATACAATGATGTCTCTACCATGATATGGCTGTAACTGCCACCTGTCATTAAGGGCAACAGAAGTCTTTTTATGCCTCAGTCATTTTATTTTTTTGTATTACAAGTATCATTCTACCTTCTCTACATTTCTCCATGGGGTCATTGAAATAATTTGGAAATGTGCACATAAAAACATGTTGGAAAAAATGGTATAAAATACTATATAAGGAGAGAGTATTTTTGAAGTTAATCTTGTTTACTGTTCCCCTACAAAAATTATCAGCATTGTTGTATTTCAAGAGTGCATTGATAATTGCACTTGAAAAGAACGCTTTATGATTAGATGTATATGAGCACAATAAGGTGCATTTATGAGTTCTGATTTGCTGCAGCTGGTTTTCTTAAACTGGCACATTCAACTCTTCTATAGCTACTTTGTAGATTTGGAAAGTTTTTGCTGAAATTGAAAAATGTGTGATATTCACAGAATTCAATGAAGTAGTAATCTTCAGGTAAAAAAAAACTTGGAATTTTTAAATTTAGAGACCATTTAAAACATTTCAATTTTAATTTTAAAGAAGTCAACATTTTTTTCATAAATGATGATGATGATGATGATGATGGTTGCTGTTATTTCCACCAACCAGTCAGGAGAAGTACACACATACAGATATCCATCCTACAAATGTGGGAGATAAACAAGGATAAGTAAACAAGATGACTGTGACTGAAAAATCAGGCTATGAGGCAAGCTGGATAGACACAAAGACCTCAGGCTTACAATGTTATTTGTCTGTGTGGGCACATGTTCAATTCAATTAAACAGTGACAGAGCACCTGTCACACACAAGACAATAAGGGCTAAACAAAAAACACATAACAAAGATTTTTAATTTCATGGCACTCGTAATCCTAGAGAAGCAGGGGAATATAAAAATAAATATTATACAAAACATAGTTTGATAAATACAATAATAAACACAGAGTGTGCTGGATTCCAGAGAAAGCTAAAAGAAGGAGAAAAACAAACTATATACATGCATAAATAATAGAAAGGGAATCCACTGAAAAAATCCATCTCCTTCTAGCATTTCTCATTTAAATAAAATGTTTTGATAAGAGGTAAGAATGAAGAAGCTCAATTTTTTCTTTTTTTAAGGTTTACTTATTTGAGAGAGAGAGAGAGAGACAGCGGGGGTTGGTGCAAAAAGAGATGGAGAGAGAGAATCTCAAGTAGACTTCCTGCTGAGCACGGAGCTCAAGAAGGGGGCTTGATCCCATGACCCTGAGATCATGACCTGAGCCAAAATCAAGGGTCGGGACACTTAACGGACTGAGCCACCCAGCACCCCTAAGGAAAACAAATTTAAAAGGAAAGAGAGACGGGATGCCTGGGTGTCTCAGCGGTTGAACATCTGCCTTCAGCTCAGGGCATGATCACGGAGTCCAGGGATCGAGTCCCACATCGGGCTCCCTGCATGAAGCCTGCTTCTCCTCCCCCTGCCTAGGTCTCTGCCTCTCTCTGTGTCTCTCATGAATAAATAAAATCTTAAAAAAAAAATGGAAAGAGAGACAGCAAGAGAGTGTACTATGATAGGGTTAAGGTTTGAAAAGGTCACATATATCAAACATTTCTATTGTAATTCTATACTGAAAGTTGGATAAAAACCTTCCCAAATTCACTGCTCTGTAATAGAAGTAACCATGTTGGTATGAACTGAAGAGAGCCATCAGCTTCTTGAATGCATAGTGCAGATGGGTCATTCCAGGGGGCATCAGAGACTTGGGCCTTGATATTTTTGAGCTAATCAAAACTTAAAAGTCCAGGTCATCCATAAAATATCATCATTAAATGTTAGATATTTGTGCTTAGAGTGTACTGATTCTAGCATTCTAACAAAAAAAGAAATCATCCCTATGATGCTGAGTATTTTGTTGTAATATATATAAGGTAATATATGAAGGTAAATCTCAAACAAGGATGAAAACATTTACCATTTGTTCCTACACCGATCAAAGATTTATTGACTACCTTTGGCATAGCATACTTTTCTAGGCACTGGTGACATGAGAGTTAACTGAACAAATATCTTCTCACAAATTCCCTTGCTGGAGATAGATAATGAGTAAACAAACAAATATATTACTCTCAGGTGGTAAATGCTATCTACAGAGAAAGTGGAAGGATATTTAGCATTTGGAAAGCACCTGGTAGAAGTGAGTAATGCTTTAAAAAAAAAATACAAAAAGTACAAGCATACCTCATTGGTAGCATTCTAGCGGGCCTGAAGTAATTGAGGGAAGTAGCCTCTAATATCTAGGAAAACTCACCACAGAAGTGCACAGGGCATGGGGAGCATGCCTTGGGATTTTGAGATGAGCAAGGAGGCCTGTGCTGAGGAAGTGACATGAATGAATGGGCTCCAGTGGAGAAGGTGAGATCAGGGAAGGGATGGGACTGATTGGGAGGGTCATGAGGACCGTCCTAAGGATGTTGGGGTATATTCTGAATGAGCTGGAAAGCCAAGAGAGGAATCTGTGCAGGGGAGCAACGTGACCAGGTTTACATTTTAAAAGAATCACTTTGGTGGCTCTCTGAGATTAGACTGTACCTTACTTCATTTATACGATGGAGTTCAAGTTATAATAATAGAATCAATAGTAATAGTAGTAATAAGAACAACAATGCTGCATATATAGAGAACACTTATTTATATACTAGGTAATGTGGTAAGCATTTTACATAATTATCTCACTTAGCTTCCATCAATTACCAGTATCTTTGGATTAAAAATAAAAAAAAAATTGAAGATTGATGATTTTGAAGTAACCAGCCCACATTCACACAGATAGACAGTGTCAGAGTCTGGATTCTTAACCTGGTAGTCTGACCCCAGGGATGAGCCTTTCTGGATGCACAGACTATCCTAGACAACTTTTAGAACCTATCCCTCTTCACTCCCTTCCAGAGATTTATATTTAATTGTTCTAGAGCGGGGCCGGACACTACTATTACTTTAAGTTCTCCAGGGCATTCTAATGTACAGTCAGAACTGGAGGCAACTGGGGATTCAGTGGCCACACTGTAGTGCCTAAATGTACTAGTATCCTAAGTCACCACTAATTTAGTTATCACTACTAAAATTAGCAGTCATGCTAACATTCGTAGAACACTTTGTTTCAGCCTTATTATTTAATGAGGTAGAAAGAAAAAAAGTTACTGAGCTTTTTTGAGAAAACCAGCATTCATCATTTTCCCATGTAAAAATGTTACAACTAAGTAACAACTCTGCATCATTTTATTTATTTTATTTTAAGATTTTATTTATTTATTCATGAGATATACAGACAAGAGAGGCAGAGACCTAGGCAGAGGGAGAAGCCCAATGTGGGACTCAATCCCAGGACCCAGGGATCATGAACTGAGCTAAAGGCGGACACACAACTACTGAGCCATCTAGGTGCCCCTCCGCATCATTTTAAAAAGAGAATAGTTTATGTGCATCACCTGCCCTGCATTCTCACCTCAATCTTGGTCAGCCCCAGGAGCGCGACGGCCACACGAACACTACTGCTTTCCAGAGTACCTGTGATCAACCGTCGCTCATACTCTATATCTGACATCTGCTGCTGTGCTGCAAACGCCAAAGCTTTTTCCTTGGCTTCATTCGTCAGTGGCAACTTAAGGTCCACATCCAAGATTTGACGGAGCTCACATTTCAAATACAGAACTGGATTTTCCTTACTAAGCGCTAGGGGAAGCAAAAGCATTCATGACTGCAATGATCATTTATGCCCTTGACAAGCTATCCAGAATGGACTTGGAAGGTTTGAAATACAGAACTGTAGCTGTGGTCTTTATCAACCAGAGTAACATGGGTAACTCATTTAGAGTAGTTCTGATTCAGTAATTCAAGAAGAGTAAGTCTTCTGGAATTAAAGGTATTTTGCCAGCATTCTCTAAAAAGAATGCTCAAAAGAACCCAAAGGATTCTTTTGTAGAAATATCAACATTAAGTTCAAACATTAAGTGATCATTGTGCTATCAGTGATTAGAAGGTAAGGGAAGTAGAAATAAATGTAAAGACATCTGTTGGGGACCGGCAAGAACTGGCATTTTCTTTCACTAACAACCTAACACTTCAGAATGTAGGGTAAAGTTCAGGTAATATATTACAATATGTAGAATTTGAGAGCATAGCTATTTCTCAGTTCTTTGGGAAACTGAAAATTTGCTGAGTAAATATTTTGAATGCCACATTTCAATATTTAACAGAAGAATGAAAAATAAGGATTTAGAGAAAAGCACCACTGACATTGATTTCATTGTTAAACTGGTGCTCTACTCCATGAATGTTGACATAATAAAGTTAAAGGGAGCCTTCCAAAAGACTTCCCAGTTTTTACTGGGAAAAATTTGCTGTGAGTACGCTTGGACGACTCCATGAGGAACAGCACCATCCTTAACATTTTAAATGAAATAAAACATATGTTTACTCTACCTTCCTCTGGAGAACTGCTGTAGTCAAGTGGAGCTGAAGAATCCTTTGGGAGAAAGGAGGAAGGCAAGGGGATCATGCCTTTTCCTTCCACAACGTAAATTAATTCTCCAATCTAAAACACAACCACACAATGATATTAAATTTCAAAAGCCCAGAAAAAAATCAGGATAAATCTTTCTGCTTTGAGAACAATCTGTATGCTATAAAAACCTCCATGCATTGTGCATTGCTAAGCAACTGTAAGCCCTAAATGGGGAGTGAAAGGTAAGGCTTAAATATAGCTCTCCCACAGTGTGGAGGAAACTTTGTATGCATCCAGAGCAGGGAGGCGTATTAAGAAGGCCCCAGGATGCCACTGACAGCAATTGATCTTTGCAGCTGTAAATATCCTTGGTAGACTGCTAGCTTAAATCACATAAACAATCAAGGAAGAAAATATTTTTTTCCTTCGTTCTGTAATTTATTGTTGGAGAGAAGTAACATCACTTTTGCATGTCTGAGTTCTCAAGTGTTGATATTTTAAAGTGTAGTTTTTTTTTTTTAAGTGAGCCTATGAGGATCTGTAGATCTTTTAGAATAAGTAATTAGGCAATAAATACAAAAGAGTAAACAGAAAGAGTAAAAATAAAAGTGGGGTCAATGCAAGGGCAGCAACACAATATGGGGAAAGATCAGTAGAGGTCAACATGCTTGGTTTCAATTCTAGTCTAGCTACTAAGCCTCAGGTAAATTTAGTAAATCTCTGACTTTCAGTTTTGGCCTCTGTAAAATGGGATGATCAAAAAAAAAAAAAAAAAAAACAAAAAAAAAACCAAAACCCAGTTCATTTTAGAAATCTAGAGATTAAAATGAAAAGGAAGGGGAGAGAGGGAGTCTCTAAAGACATATGATCCAATTGGATGAATATTATTTAAATCTTGATTCTGAAGGGAAGGAGAAAATGTCACCCCAGAATAGGCCGCTTTGCTATATTAATAATTTTGAAATGTAGGCACTTAAAAGACAGCAAATGCAAGGAGAGGCTTTCTTGAACTTGCCTTATCTGCCTAAAGACAGATCCTTCAAAAGAAACTCAAATATCATAAATTCCCTCCTTGTGGATTTCACAAACCAAGGACTGACTCTTACCAGAAGGAGCCTGAAAGTTGATACTGTACACCAAACTTTATCACAAAGTGTCAGGTGTCCTGTCTATTCTTCTAAGGGCCCATTCATCTTTCCTAAAAATCATTTACTCTCCTCTAAGTGGCCAATGTCCCTTTCTCCCTTTTCTCTCTTAAGATGGTATTGAGCCTGAATTCTAAGCTACCTTGAGGAATTCCTCATTTTCCCTTGGGTACCTCTCATGTATATAGGAAGTATACATGTTAATAAACGTGTATTTTTTTCTTGTTAATCTGTCTTTTATTACAGGAGACTCAACCAATAATTCAGAAGGGTAGAGGAAAAAGAATTTTTCCTCCCCTACAATTTGAACAAAGACACTTAAAAAGAAATGACAGAAAAAATGTACAAACAATCATGAGATAATCAGGGAGATACAAACAATGCCTGGTTGTTTGATGTTAAGAAAAAAAACTTTACAATATGTTTAGTAATATCAGTATCAATGTTATGTCAAAAAACCAAAGTCTTCTTGTTGTAGAGATTCTTACTAAATGATCTGTGGAAAAAATTATGTGATGATTGGGATTTGCTTCATTATAATGATGTAACAAGTTAGGCCATGCACTGTTGAAGCTGGGAAGAGAGTACAGGGGAGATTAATTGCAGTTTTTGTTTACAGAATGGTATTTTATACTTTCCATAAGAAAGTCTTAAAAATGCTTATTTATATTTCAAGAAGTAGAATCGTAGTAAAGCTGTAGCAAAGACTAAACAAGGTAACACATATGAGGAACCCAACCCGTTGCCTGGCACTTAGTAGGCACCTAAGAGAGATCCATTTAAATGGAGAGGGATCATTTTTTGAGAGCAAGGCTTCCCAAACTTTCATGACATATAAATCATTTGAAGATATGGTTTAAATACAGGTCTGGGGGATCCCTGGGTGGCGCAGCGGTTTGGCGCCTGCCTTTGGCCCAGGGCGCGATCCTGGAGACCCGGGATCGGGTCCCACGTCGGGCTCCCGGTGCATGGAGCCTGCTTCTCCCTCTGCCTGTGTCTCTGCCTCTCTCTCTCTCTCATTCTATGTGACTATCATAAATAAATTTAAAAAATTAAAAAAAATTTAAAAATAAAAAAAATAAATAAATACAGGTCTGACTGAAGAGATCTAGAGTAGGGCCAAGACTTGGAGGATTAATGAAAAAGAGCACTGGCAAATTTAGTGCTAAGCCATGTGATGGAGAATCTTCTGCCAGAATGACCTTGTGAAAGGCATGTAACTAACTACTGGGAAAGCAAAAGGAAACAAACTTAGCTTCCAAGCTGGGATGGTAACTAGTTTGAACTGCCCCACCATCTTAAAACAATGTTAACTGTATGCTTGAGAGACTATTCCAGAGACAGCACACATAAATTATTTAAAAGGAAATTAATCACATAACAAAAATACATAACCTAAGATATTGTAAATATCCTAGATAACATATGAAATGGCAAAAACTGAAAATTAATCTAGAAATTATAAGAATAAACAATTCCTGATCACGATGTCAATTTATTTATAGCTACCCTATAAATAAAAACACTGAGATTTGTTTACAATAAGGTTAATGGTCATCTACTCTCATATGATCATGTTCCACAGAATTTTATTAATTATAACCCACAATTATCTTCAGTTTATGCTGAAAAAAGAAATATGGAAAACTTTGAATATTTTAAATTGTTTAGCAAAGGGCAGCCTGGGTGGCTCAGCGTTTTAGAGCTGCCTTTGGCCCAGGGCGTGATCCTGGAGACCTGGGATTGAGTCCCACGTCAGGCTCCCTGCATGGAGCCTGCTTCTCCCTCTGCCTGTCTCTGCCTCTCTCTCTCTCTGTCTCTCTCTCTCTCTGTCTCTCTGTGTCTCTCATGAATAAATAAATAAAATCTTAAAAAAAATTGTTTAGCATTTAAATCCATACAGTCTGGGTAATAAACAGTACATTACATAAAATTTTCATATAGTACTTTTTCCTAAGCAACCTTGTACTCTGCAAACATAAATCCAAGCTAGCCATCTGAAATGTGTTTTCTGTGTGTGCATGTTTTACTACAAATACAACTGAGTGATCAATACTAATGACATGGAATTTTCGATGATAATTGAAGTACTCAACAAAGACCAGGGAAAATATATGAAGTTTTTACTTTTATTTTACTTTTTTTCTCATTTTTATTTTTATCTAAAGAAAAATCAGTTGTTTTACCCAAAATATAATATTCATAAGGAATCAGACTTGGTGAGTATAGAGTTACCAAAATTACACTTTTTCTTAAAAGTGTGCCTGAATGAAACCTGATCTATAGCTTGTCTTCTCAATCAAAATAAATACCAACTATGGGAGTTGATACAAAAGCAAACTGCTATTTGCCAGGGTATTTCCCTTAATATACATTATAAAAAAGCCTCCTAGCCATGGATTAGTCAACTAAAATATCAGTAACTAAAACTCCACTCAATTCCATTTAATTCCACCTCTTACACAGACGATATATTATCATTTCTCAAAAAATTATTTTGTCTAACTTGTTCATTTTCAGTGTTCTTTTTCATTAAAAAGAAACTTAATTGAAAATAATGCCTGTGTCAGAAAATTGTTCAGGAAAATCAACTGTGGTATCATCTAATTATTTCCCTCTACTTTTCTTGCAATAAAATCAGACCAGGAAAGGAATAAAAAAGCAATAAAGAACTCCCTTAAAGCAGAGAAGTCCCTTACATTCCAAGTCTGGAAGCTGTGACAAGAGAAATGAAATTATCTGACACATAACAGATACTTGTCAATGTGAGCTATTCTAATAGGCTATTAAATTTCCTTTCTGCCTTTAATTTCATATTTTACAGCCAGGATGTTTACTTGGATTTTTATTATATTTTCCAGAAAGATGCCAAAGCCCATTGTCCATTGTAAGAAACCCTCACAAAAGATATTTTGTTCTTCCTGTGTATCTAGTTAAGTGTAGTCCTCAGATAAGACAGTTGCACACAAATTTACAAGACCAGCTGTTAACGACCTAGAAATGAGGAACACAAACAATGAATCGGCAGAAAAAATTTAATCCCAGCTCTGTTACTAATTAGCTGGGTAACCTTGGACATGTCATGGATACCCTCCAGACACAAATAACCTTAATCTTAAAAAAAAAAAGAAAAAAAAAAGAAAAAAGCATTTTAGATAGAAAATCCCCATGTTGTTTCATAGGTCTTCAAATTCTACTTATTTTTTAATCTTGGGCCTAGACTTTGCTGTTTTGTGATTTATTTGTTTAAACTAGCTGAGCAATATTATATTATTTTGATGGCTAAACAGGCATGTGAGAGCTAAGCTAAAATTCTAAAATGTTAAATTCCATACACTAGAGAGAGATCATTAATCACTGTAGGTGGCTATTTGGCATTGGCATAATTATGATGTGAAACTGACCAGTAAGAATAATTGCTGTTCTTTTAAAATATGATCTTTCATAGAATGAGTGTTCTAGGAGACTCAGGGTGAACAGAAAATATATAAAGAGAAATATATATTTGTAAGCTTGCACTAAAATGTTCAACTTTCTTAACACAATTTCTTTTTTAAAGACTTATTTATTTATTTATTTGAGAGAGAGAGAGAGAGAAAATCCTTAAGCAGACTCTCTGCTGAGAGGGAGCCAGAGGCTGGGGATCAATCCTAGGACCCTGAGATCATGACCTGAGCCAAAATCAAGAGTCAGATGCTGCCGGGACACCTGCACCCCGATGTTTCTAGCAGCAAAGTCCACAATAGCCAAACTGTAGAAGGAGCCTCGGTGTCCATCGACAGATGAATGGATAAAGAAGATGTGGTCTATGTATACAATGGAATATTCCTCAGCCATTAGAAACGACAAATACCCACCATTTGCTTCAACGTGGATGGAACTGGAGGGTATTATGCTGAGTGAAGTAAGTCAATCGGAGAAGGACAAACAGTGTATGTTCTCATT